CAATCCATATGCACCAGCAGCAAACACAATTTTCTACACTCTGGGTCCTAGTGGCGCCTCCCCCCCACAGTATGGCACCTGAGGCGGCCACCTCAGTTCGCCTCATGGTAAGGCCAGCCCTGCTATCATTCACCACCAAGTCAATATTTGTATCATCTCCACCTGTTACCAGGAGACCTAACACCTTTGTACCATAGTCTTGTGTCTGATCTGACACAACCTGTCAATGTTTCGCAGGAGGGATCCTGAAGGGAAATTTGGAAACCTCGTGAATTACAACCAGAGTTTTAGACACACTCCAAGAGGGTAAATCTTATCTGCCTCAGTGTGAGTCCTTTGCGCTGATAACAGGACTCACATACAAGAGATGACAGGGCTAGAGTCATTGGACAAAAATTGACTCAAAACTCCCTTTCCCAACCACCGCCAGAAAAAAGCAGTCAGACAAAAAGCATTTCATGAATTTGTGTCAATGTCAGCAAATTGTTTTGGTTCAAATAAACATTTTGATGGGGGGGGGGGGGGAGGGATGACAGAAGGGACCTTTACTCTGCTAAGAATTCACACTAGCTTGATTTTTTCTAGTGTCAGTGTTCAAGCACTGGATCATGTTATGTCTTTGTTTGGTAAATGTATGAACCCTCTGGTATCAGACGTCTTCTTTTTTATTCTTTTGTATTTTTATAGACTGAACAAGTTGCTTTTTTACCTTCTCTCTGGTATAGTAAATAGCAATGGGCTCCTCAAAATCTATTATTAAGTTGTATTTTCAAGACCTTGAATCATTCTTGTACTGCTTTACTAAACACTTCTCTCCCTGCTGCTATTCTATATTCCCCTGTTTATACACCTAAGGACTAGGACTAGCCTTCTCAGTCACTGTGTAACACTGGGAATTCAGTTGGTTTTCTACAATGACCACTTTCAGATGCCTGAATGACCTATATTGTCATCTCAGAGTTAAAGATTACCAGGATATAGTTCCACATTCTGTAAATATGACCTACATTCTTTGTTCCAAGATATGCATAGTTCATGATTGTGCATATGGTAAGATGATTCCACATGGTTTGAATGAGTTCACCTCACCAAATGTGTATGCTGTCATTCAGGGCTGGCCCACAACATTTTGGCACCTGAGGCGGGGAGCTCAAATGACACCCCCCATACCCCCTCGCTTGGGCCAAAACTTTGAAAGGTCTCAATTCTGCCTTCTTCTTGTTCTACTCCTCTCCCGGCACTCCACCATCTCTGTGCATCTAGAGCAGAGACAATCCATATGCACCAGCAGCAAACACAATTTTCTACACTCTGGGTCCTAGTGGCGCCTCCCCCCCACAGTATGGCACCTGAGGCGGCCACCTCAGTTCGCCTCATGGTAAGGCCAGCCCTGCTATCATTCACCACCAAGTCAATATTTGTATCATCTCCACCTGTTACCAGGAGACCTAACACCTTTGTACCATAGTCTTGTGTCTGATCTGACACAACCTGTCAATGTTTCGCAGGAGGGATCCTGAAGGGAAATTTGGAAACCTCGTGAATTACAACCAGAGTTTTAGACACACTCCAAGAGGGTAAATCTTATCTGCCTCAGTGTGAGTCCTTTGCGCTGATAACAGGACTCACATACAAGAGATGACAGGGCTAGAGTCATTGGACAAAAATTGACTCAAAACTCCCTTTCCCAACCACCGCCAGAAAAAAGCAGTCAGACAAAAAGCATTTCATGAATTTGTGTCAATGTCAGCAAATTGTTTTGGTTCAAATAAACATTTTGATGGGGGGGGGGGGGAAGTGCTTCACTAAATGACCAGAGGAAGTGGTCAACCACCATCACCCTCATCAGGATGTGGAAAAGCAGGGTTTGAATATACATTTGGCAACTGGGACTTAAACCCACATCTTCACTTCACCCAAGTGACTTCCCCAAGCACCTGGCTATTCGGGGCGGGGGTCTTGCTTAATCTTTTTTGTTGAAGCTTGCCTCCTTGGTACAAAGTTCTTGAAAGGACACTGGGACAGAGAAGGAGTCTAGCCTGCTACTCAGAGCACTGTAGAAGGGACGCCGGGCTACCAGTCTCTGTTCTGGAGAGGAAATTCAAACCTGGGTCTCCCACATCCTGTGTGAGCACTCTATCTACTGGACTAATAGAGGAGGGAGGGCATTGCCATCCCCAGGGTTGTGACTCTAGCCCCTCGTTTCCTTTTACTGAGGGACCCTAACATGACAATTCTCCAGCTTTTGGACGAAGATTCCCAGACACTCTCACTTGTAGTTGAACCAGAAGGGGATTTTTATTTTGATTTTTTATTGTTTGATTTTTTATTGCAGAGCTGCCAGCCAAGCAGTTAC